ATTTCACATTTAAAAGGATCTACAACCCAATTCACAGTTTGTACATCAAGATCTGAAAAGTAGTCAGAGAACCGCTCTGTGAGTTTGGTAAGATGAAATTAGAAAAATTTCCCTATTACCCAAAAAAAATCATTTTTACCCCATTTTGGGTAATTTACCCCGGCCGCTGACCTATATTAACAAATTAAACTCTCCAAAGAATGCAGAAAATCGCGCAGAGTTGCTGCAGCGCTTGAAAAGACGATTTATAGACAACTTTAATGTTCGTTGTGGATGACCGGCAGCGGGAGTCGCCTATCATGCCATATACTTATAGGTGAAGGTTTTATAAATGAATTCATTATTGTAGTATAAGAGTTATTGTTTATTTAGTTACATAAATATATTATACAAAACTATGCGTTTCATCTAAATCACCCACAATCATCGTTTATCAACTATTATTTTATTATAGAAATTCATTTTGTTACGAAATTGGAACTATTTGAATATCATCTATTTCATCTAAATTTCCACACAAATCTATTTCTTTTTTAAAATTCGTTATGCTTTCTCCATCGTAGATGCGTAAATTATCGATTTTATATTTAATATCTGGTTGATTGCATTCCTGCGTCCTACTAATTGCCAGACCATTCTCATCTGCTACAAATGAAAACGTTATTGAATCCAGGATGAGCGTTCCTGTTGCATTTGCACTTGGATCAGTCATGTCGTATGCTATAGCCAATGAATAAGATTCTTCAGGTAATTGTTTTGGGTTCTCCTGGAAAGGAATACAGTGTTAAAATGTTAGTTTTTATAATCAATTTAATAGGATTTAATGGCTTAAGCGTTACCAGTTAGAGAGATTTATTTAAAACATCCCTTGATCTAAGTCGACTAGTGTCAATTTAGCACTACGAGGGTTTCCGATGGCTCTGATCTTTCAATTAACCACGTCATTGGCAATTTCCCTCTACAGCTTTAATCACACTTTACCGACGACCCCAAAATGCATTACGTCGAGTATGTAAAATGCAGCGATGCTATCAAAGGCTATTGTCGAACTATAGTTGTAAAGTTAACGGTGTGTGTTATGAAATTATAGTCTATTACATAAATCAATTTGGGTTTTATGAAGCTGTAATAATTCAATAATTCTTTTTGATGGTTTTCAAATAGGTAAAAAGCAATTGGAATTACGTTAAGAACGTTGCTAATTCTTAAACTGAATGAAAATGTATAACTTTTCGCTCATAAAAACAGGACAAAAGATATGAAAATGTAATAATCCATTACGTGAAAGCCGTAATAAATGTGCTTTTGCATGTAAAATAAATCATGCCGTCTGCTCGAAGCTTTTACTTAATGCCAATTCATCAGACGATTTCGCGGCGACACCGAATGCGCTCGTTTCGTTTCAATATGTTTGATTGATCTTTAAGGTTTCGCATTCTTTTTTACGAGGATCACAATAACAACAGAAAATAAACAAAACGAAAGCTTTCTTTTTTTCACGTGGCGAAACGAAATGAGAAACTTACGCTCTTCAGCGGAACAATCGATCCGGATTTGATGAACATGATCCAGTCGGACTCGACGACAGGAAAGTTGATCCAACCGGAATCCGGATAGTTAATTCCACCCCAGAACTCGAACCATCCTCCATCGACCATTGGTAGGTAAACGTTTTTGATGAAGACGTCCGGTAGAACGATTTGTCCGACAAGAAGTTTATCTCCGAGCATGTACTGCTCGTCCAGAGGAAACGTGGCGTTGTCGTCTGGGAAATCGTAGAACATCGGTCGAGCCAACGGTTCGTCGTTATCCAGAAACATCCAGAAGTACGGTATTAGAGATTCCCTAATTTTCAGAGCATTTTCCGCGATGATTTTGCCGTGACCCAGTTTATTTGGCCATAAGTCTGAGCTTCGAATGATCGGCATTGTAGCCGACATCATGTACCATCGGAAGCAGAGCGTGTCATCATCGAAAGTATGGTTCGTACCGCAAACCGGAGTGGAGATCAAAGGGTTTACGAAGAAACCGTAGAAGAGGTTCCTCACCATCATCTCTTTGAAACTACCCCAAGTGGTCGGGACGTTCTCGATGAAACCCAAAGAACGAGACTCATCGTCAGGTGATGAGAGAAGAACAAAGTCCTTTTCATCAGCAGATTTCAGCTGATCCAAAGCATAATCGTTATGAACGACGTAATGTTTTTCTTTCTTACTGTTCAATATATTCCAAGGTAAAGTTTTCGTCAAGGCCAAAACAAGTTCCTGCAAATAATCAAATCAATTACATTTAAACTTTAATTACGTTTACTCACATCCGATAGATACGGAAACGTTTCTCTATTTGCCGGGAATTTGTACTTATCATCAGCAGGCCAATTTTGAGTTAAAGCGTATCCTGATATTATCTCACTATTTACAGAAAGCACCTTCAATACATTTTCGAACCATAATTTGGACTCTTGCAAAGAAAAATCTACGAACGATACGTCTTCGTTCTGATATTTTCCCATCCAATTAAAATTGGGAATGTTCGATTTAAAAAATAATGATTGCAAAACTTCGTAAGAAGTTGATTTTTTAGGTACCTAAAATAACAAGTTAATTTAAGGAAAGTTTCTTTAAATTTACTAATTGCTTACCTGAGGTGGTAACGACAAAATAAGATGTTTCGATTGTGATATTTCTTCCAATGCTTTTTTGATATTCGAATTATCACTGTAAGCGCGCATCAATAGATCTTCGTGCAAACAATCAGAAACAAACATGCTTGTTTTTACTAAATGTTCTGTAGGTTTGTTAATTATTTCTGTGATATCTGATTTTCCATTACTGAAATGTTGAACATTTTGAGAATTCCAAGTAGAATGTGTTAAAATGTGTTTTTACCTGCAGAAGTGTGGTTTTAAGAACCATTCCTTCAGTTTCGGTTTAGGTTTGCGCATTTGTTGCATAACGTCCTTCGCTGTAGGCCCGAGGAACAGATCCAGATCGATCCGTTCGCCCACCAAACTTTTGATTACGATCAGGTTCGAGGGCAGGACGGAAACTTCCAGAGGGCCGCGGTTTCGGATGGACAGGCCGTGAAAGAGTCCCTTCTCCTCCGCCAGGAATACCGGAAGCGTGTTGTGGTCGTTCCTGTTGCGATAAATCACCTTTGTAACGATCTCCGTGTGATTTAGAAGCAGTTCTCCGAAGCCGAAGAGGTGATTATCGGATAAGTGAACCGTCCAAATCCAGTAATGATCGGATGCTATCATTGGGCCCAGCGAAGTAGTTAGGATCAGTTGACCGGTGTCCCGACGCACCTCCGCCACCAAACTATTATTTATAGGCTGCACTTCGTAATTTTTATCAGGGACAACGGTTTCGGTCACTTCAACATCTAGACCGTGCATTGCAACAGTCAGAAAATTCTCGTTGTTCTCTATGTAAGATACTTTCATCTCCCTGTACATCGGATTCTTGTATGGCGTCGCGTACTGCGTTCTTTCAAACTTCTCCGATTTATCCAATCTCTTATAGTTGTAAGCCGATGGTAACGAGTGGAAGCAGAAGAGATCATCGTCGTCGTAACAGCACAGGTTTGCAATGCACTCAGTGTACGTGTAATTGCCGCAGGGAACACGGAACTTCTTTGATTGAACGCAAATTGGTTTCGGATCCACCTCACCCAAGTAATCATTGCTGTAGTAATAAACTAGCACAGGCACTACCACCGCGATGATCACGAAGAACGCGAGTCCAATGAAGAGGTGGGTTTTCGCCAATTCAACGAAATTATACCAGAATTTCTTGAACCAAGATAATCCCTTCTTTTCCCTGTCATTGCGCACCTGTATCACCTCTTCGGGCTCTCTGTACTGATCCACGAAGTTTGTATTCTCTGGTGTCATCATGATTAATCTGATCGTTAGGAGATCATCTGTTTGGTGGTTTCTACTACACAAAACGCGGATCTATTGCATCAATCAAATGGATGAAAATAGATAAGTTTTATATCTTATATCGATAAGATTTCGAGAAACACGTTCTTATCGCTATGAGGAAAACGACTCAAGTGTTCATGGAACATATAAATAATGGTTTTATTATTGATTGCAATTCCAGCATAATTCGTAATTAGATTAAACGATTTATTAGTTATTTCCGAATATAGAACATCATCTTATTAGAAATGAAAAATATGAAAAATGAAATTAGTTCTAGGGTATTACATCATAAGAAAGACGTATTTCTTCCTCTCGGTGGCAATCGAATGCCCGACAACCGAAATCCCGATTGTATCAAAATCCCGACAATGTCTACAATTAATAAATTTATAACAGAAAATTTTATCTAAAATCTACAAATACAATGTCAATTTTTATTTTTGACACTTTGACATAGAGTGACAGCTGTCAATTCGAGACTCACAGGTTGAGAAACGTTGTTATATAAATATTTACACTGTTTTAATAAAAATTTCAATCATTTCACGAAATTCAGATTTGTCAATTGTTTTGAAAGTTACAAAAGTAGCGTTACTAAAACCACTGTAACTTGTCAACTAAACGTCAGATTGCCATAAAATTTTGGCAGGCGTCGTCTGAAGGTTGGTACTTCTTAAAAATCATATCGATTTGTCGATAGAGGCGCTATCTAAGAACTTATCGAGTGAGGAGTTATGTAATAAAAAATGTTATGTAAAATCATTTCATTTATTTTAAGGGATAGAAATAATTAATTTTCAAATATGATTCAATTGACTAACATTTAGAGATAAAAACAAATGATAACGAGATTAATTGATAACTTCAATCTTTACATCCAAAGAATTGACAAATTTATTATGTAAAATAACAACTTTTGGTGATAATTTTACAAAAGTTGTAATTAAAAGTTTAACGACCTGCGGAATTTCCCATCCATCATTCATCTGTAAACGTATTTCTTGTTAGAAGCAAAAAAATATGCATATAAATAATGTTTAACATTAAATGAAGTGAAATCCCGACTATATCGAAAATGTCTACAATTAATAAATTTATAACAGAAAATTTTATCTAAAATCTACAAATACAGCAATTCTCCTTTTTTTTCAATGTCAATTTTTATTTTTGACACTTAGACATAGAGTGACAGCTGTCAATTCGAGACTCACAGATTGAGAAACGTTGTTATATAAATATTTACATTGTTTTAATAAAAATTTCAATCATTTCACGAAATTCAGATTTGTCCATTTAAAGATAAAAACAAATGATAACGAGATTAATTGATAACTTCAATATTTATATCCAAAGAATTGACAAATTTATTATGTAAAATAACAATTTTGGTGATAATTTTACAAAAGTTGTAATTAAAAGTTTAACGACCTGCGGAATTTCCCATCCATCATTCATCTGTAAACGTATTTCTTGTTAGAAGCAAAAAAATATGCATATAAACAATGTTTAACATTAAATGAAGTGAAATCCCGATTGTATCAAAATCCCGACTATATCGAAAATGTCTACAATTAATAAATTTATAAAAGAAAATTTTATCTAAAATCTACAAATACAGCAATTCTCCTTTTTTTCAATGTTAATTTATATTTTTGACACTTTGACATAGAGTGACAACTGTCAATTCGAGACTCACAGGTTGAGAAACGTTGTTATATAAATATTTACATTGTTTTAATAAAAATTTCAATCATTTCACGAAATTAAGATTTGTCCATTGCTTTGAAAGTTACAAAAATAGCGTTACTAAAACCACTGTAACTTGTCAACTAAACGTCAGATTGCCATAAAATTTTAGCAGGCGTCGTCTGAAGGTTGGTACTTCTTAAAAATCATATCGATTTGTCGATAGAGGCGCCATCTAAGAACTTATCGAGTGAGGAGTTATGTAATAAAAAATGTTATGTAAAATCATTTCATTTATTTTAAGGGATAGAAATAATTAATTTTCAAATATGATACAATTGACTAATATTTAGAGATAAAAACAAATGATAACGAGATTAATTGATAACTTCAATCTTTATATCCAAAGAATTGACAAATTTAATATGTAAAATAAGAACTTTTCGTGATAATTTTACAAAAATTGTAATTAAAAGTTTAACGACCTGCGGAATTTCCCGTCCATCATTCATCTGTAAACGTATTTCTTGTTAGAAGCAAAAAAATATGCATATAAACAATGTTTAACATTAAATGAAGTGAAATCCCGATTGTATCAAAATCCCGACTATATCGAAAATGTCTACAATTAATAAATTTATAACAGAAAATTTTATCTAAAATCTACAAATACAGCAATTCTCCTTTTTTTAATGTCAATTTTTATTTTTGACACTTTGACATAGAGTGACAGCTGTCAATTCTAGACTCACAGGCTGAGAAACGTTGTTATATAAATATTTACATTGTTTTAATAAAAATTTCAATCATTTCAAACCAATGCAGCAAATTTTGTTTAAAATAAATAAATCATTCCCACCTCACTCAGTAATTTAAAAATGTTATTGTAGAAATTTTCTATATAGTCGGGATTTCGATACAGTCGGGATTTCGGTTGTCGGGATTTCAATATAGACCCCTTCCACTAGCTTCAAATAGTGGAATACTTAAGTTATCTGAACGAATATTATCAAGATTGTATCTAAATTATTAAATAGAAGATGACTGCGATGATTAAAAAAGCTACCAAGAAAAAATTCGTTTTTCTAAATAGTTTTCTAGTCTAGTTTTATGTAATATTCAAGTTTTCTTAAGTGAAAATTCGAAAACCGGTTTATTATATAAACACTGATTTTAAATGACTTAAAAAAAAGTAGTGCCAATCGAGGCATTCCCAAGGGCGTGGATTTAAAAGCGACTGGAGCTTTAAAAGAGAGCTTTTAATCGCGCTTTCCATTAACGAACTTTGCGCAAATTTTCAAGTTGTGAAAAGTAGGGATTCGGACAAGTTCCGAGAGGCGCGACGTCGCACGGCTGCACACACGCAGGCAACGGAAAATAATTTTATAAATTCCCTTTTTTTTCAATAAGGGTCGTAAAATCGAACTCGCGAGAAGTTTCGAAAGTGGGTCGCAACTTCTTCTATTTGTCCTTCATCTCAGAAACCCCAATTGACAATTCCGGTTTGAAATAAAGCGAGAAGGGTAAAAGAAGTGGCGAAGATCTTCGGACAAAAACTGCCAACGATCGATTGGTTATTTTCGTTCGTTTGTTTGTTTTGTTGATGTTGATGCAAATTCAAAATTTAATACGAAACTACGGTTAATACGACGAAATTTCTAACGGCTGCAAAACACATTTTCGAAATGTCCTCAGGTTTCAATTAACAAATTCGTTTTTGAATTCAGTAGAATTTCATGTTTTTTTTTTAATTGGAAATTTAATATTGTAGTACAATTTGTGCAATTACAATAGTTTATATTAATTATTAATTAATAAACATTAAAAAAAACTTTAATTAACCAATACATTTTGTAATTAATATTTGTTACAATAAAAGCAAACATTTAACTTGAGTTTAATTTAACAAAAATAATATATAAAATTAGATAAATCAAAAAATCTATATGTTTTTTATGATTTTCTATATGTTCAAATTGTTATGGGAAATCCTGTCATTTTTTTTACGGCATCGCGTGTTTTCATTAAACATCGAAATAAAAGCGGAAATGGGCTTATAAACACGTGCCCAGATGACAGAAGTCAAATTGTTATCTATGCAGCTGCGACGTGATAGGATTGCATAATTCCCGCAAATACAATTTGGAAAATCGTAAAAAAATACGCAATAACTCTTTACTAGCAGTCACAAATGCTCATGTTTCCTTAACAAATATCCAAAGAAAGATAAAACGTTTATTATTCCTAACGGGTCTATATCACAAGCCCGACAATCGAAAAACCGTCTATTGAAATCCCGACAACCGAAATCCCAGCTGGCTCAAAATCCCGACTACCATAATCCCGACAATCAAAATCCCTACTATATCAAAATCCCGACTATAAGGAAATCCCGACTACCATAAAAATGTTATTGTAGAAAATTATAATAATAAAAGACACTGTCGGAATTTCGATATAGTCGGGATTTTGAATGTCGGGATTATGGTAGTCGGGATTTCAATACAATTGGGATTTCGAACGTCGGGATTTCAATAGACGGTCTTTCGATTGTCGGGCTTGCGATTGCCACCGATTCAAAACACTTACTGAAATTAATAAATTTATAACAGAAAATTTTATTTAAAATCTATAAAAACAGCAATTCTTCTTCTTTTTTTTCCATGTCAATTTTTATTTTTGACACTTTGACATAAAGTGACAGCTATCAAATTCGCGACCCACACTGTTGTATAATCATTTACATTGTTTTAATAAAAAAAATCAATCATTTAAAACCAATACAGCAAATTTTGTTTAAAATCAATAAATAACACCTCACTCAATAAGTTCGTAGAATGACTAATAAAACAACAACTTTTGGGCAATATTCGATTCTATTCATCAACACAGTCTTCTTCAAGAGTGATACACTTATCAAGCTATTGCTTTGCTTGAACTTTATTTGTCCATCAAAAAGCAATGTTCTATCAACACACAAAATTCAGATTTTTCCAAAAAATATATCAAATATGATTCAATTGACTAAAATTTAACGATAAAATAATAAATAATAACGACGTTAATTGATAACTTTAATATTTATATGCAAATAATAAATTTATTAAAATTATATATTTAAGAATGAACAAATTTATTATGTAAAATAACAACTTTTTGGTGATAATTTAACAAAAATTGTAATTAAAAGTTTAACGACCTGCGGAATTTCCCGTCCATCGTTCATCTGAAAACGTATTTCTTGTAGGAAGCAAAAAAATATGTATATAAATAACGTTTAACATTAAATGAAGTGAAAATTTTATGTCAGACGTTATGATGTATATACAGAAATTTAGGGTAGATAATTGGATTTGCCACGGTGAAGCTCGCCTGAGTAATTCAGACTTCTTGTTGCAGAAACTTCCCACTTTCCGCTTCTTGCAAAACAGACACACGGAAAATGAGAAGCGATTCCATGACTTTACATCATAAATGGATCGAAAACAGTAGTAAAAAAAAACGCATTTTGTTTATTTAATTGAAAAACAATTATGAACGTTTGGAAAGTAATCTAATTTGGGAATTTTTCAACGTCAACAGCAGAAACTGAAAAGTTTTGAAATCGATTTGCATCCAGACACAATCGGTTAATTGTTCTTTTGTCCTGCTATGGAATTAATTCGGAAGTAATTGTTGAGGCCCGATGTGTGTCGTTATTTATTAATAAAGTATCGGGGTCAAGAGGATGCATTCAATTTCGTTCCATTCATTTCAACTATGCTGACTTGCATTTTAATTCATGTCTTCTGCAAATTCATTCTACAAATAGACTATTTACTACATTCTCCGTTTTAATTTGATTAATATTTTTTTTGGTCTCTTCTTCTAGTATAGGTTTTTTTTTGTACGTTTGTGCTTAGAATAGAATCCCTTCGGTGATGTATCTTCGTTGTTTATTTTTTGTTGATGTACTTAGGAGATTCGAAGTTACCCTCGCAGACACTTGCAAACTTCGCACGCACTGTTCGTGCTCGGGCACTTTACTTGGTGGTTTAGGGTCTGTAGCGTACGGTTATTTGCATTAGGCCAATGCCAGATAATCTTCGTAACAGCACTTGTTGATATTTCGGTGTCTCCTGCCGCCTCCAAACGTTTTACGACTATTTACCAACAACATCAGTATTCGATTGTTAACATCTTCCAGGATCAGTTAGATACATTTTGCAAATTAATTTATAACAATTATTACTAGTTTACAATAGTTAAATTCATTTTGAAAGTAATCTAAGTCCATTTATATTTAAGTTGAGATATTTAAGAGTTTGCGTTTCAATAAAATCAAACATATAACAATAGATGACCCGACAAAAGCGCGCAGTAAAACAACAACGTCAAATGCACGAGATATATTTTTAAATTGCTCACATTTCAATCTTACAACTTTGTACAAAGTTTCTCGCATAAAATTTTAAATATGAAGAAATTTAATCAATAAATTACTGAAATCATTCAGTTTGTTTTATTTTCCAAAACGGATCTATATCGCAAGCCCGACAACCGAAAAACCGTCTATTGAAATCCCGACGTTCGAAATCCCGGCTGTATTAAAATATCGACCCTTGAAATCCCGACTATGTCAAAATCCCGACTACCATAATCCCGATAATCAAAATCCCGACTATATCGAAATCCCGACTACCATAATCGCGACAATCAAAATCCCGACTACCATAAAAATGTTATTGTAGAAATTTATAATACTGTCGGGATTTCAATATAGTCGGGATTTCGATATAGTCAACAAAATAATAAAAATTATGTAAACTATATTAAAATGTTGCTTTACCACTAATAATTTAAACAATGTTAGTTTTTAGATTTATACGAGTAATAATGTCTTTTTTTTTCTTTGCTGATTGAAAAAAAGTTCATTTAATTGAATAATCTGGTAATTCGATGTACAGTTTTGAATACAGCTTCTTCATTTTTAAATCAATTTAAATGTAATTGTTACTTAGATTTCCGGCGGAAGTTTGAAGAAGAAAACAAAAATTGTCATACGGATCAAATTATAAATGAATACGCTTAGATTTTTTGCACGTTACTTTATAATTTGATGTAATAATCATTGAAATAATGTATTTTTGGACAAATATTTTGAATTCATGAATAGTTTTCTTTTTTTTTTTTCAATTTTCTTAGAATTGAACATAAATTTATAAACAATTTAATAAAAAAATAATAGTAATAATAAATGTGATTGTTGGTGGATAATTATCATAAGGGTGTTAAAAAGGGTTTTAAATGTTGGATTATTTTATAATTTGTTGTAATAATCATTGATTATACATTAATTTATGAAAAGTTTTCCTTTTTTTTTGTCAATTTTATATCTTAGAAATTAGAAATAATTACAATTTATACATGAAAAGACATTTTTTTTATTAACAATTTAACAAACAAAAAGTGGTAATAATGAATGTGGATAAACATTGTAAGGATGTTAAAAAGGGTAGTAAATGTTGAATTATTTTATAATTTGTTGTAATAATAATTGATTATACATTAATTGATGAAAAGTTTTCATTTTTTTTGTCAATTTTACATCTTAGAAATTAGAAATAATTACCATTTATACATGAAAAGACATTTTTTTTACTTAACAATTTAATAAAGAAAAAATGATAATAATGAATGTGGATAAACAACATAAGGGTGTTAAAAAGGGTAGTAAATGTTGGATTATTTTATAATTTGTTGTAATAATCATTGATTATAGATTAATTGATGAAAAGTTTCCTTTTTTTTGTCAATTTTTTATCTTAGAAATTAGAAATAATTACAATTTTTACATGAAACGACATTTCTTTTTATTAACAATTTACCAAACAGCAAGTGGAAATAATGAATGTGGATAAACATCATAAGGGTGTTGGGTAGTAAATGTTGGATTATTTTATAATTTGTTGAAATTGATGAAAAGTTTTCCTTTTTTTTCAATTTTACATCTTAGAAATTAGAAATAATTACAATTTATACATGAAAAAAACATTTATTTTTATTAACAATTTAATAAACAAAAAGTGGTAATAATGAATGTGGATAAACATCATAAAGGTGTTAAAAAAGGGTTGTAAATATTGAATGAAGGAATGGATTTAATTACAAAGTAAATCTGCACACAAAGGTAAATAAGTGGGATATTGTTAGATGCAAAAAAAAGTGTAGTCATGGAGAAAGGGAAGGAATTTGTTAAAGAGAAATAAAAGATTAGGTGAAGAGCTAATATAAGCGGAGATCCGTTGTATTGGATCATTTGTAGAACAATGTTTGTCACACTGAGATCGCAGCCGAAGACGGCTTACAATCCACCCACTACCATCCATCTCCAGAAGAACCAGAACCACGAATCCAGTAATAAATACAGCTGGGACATTGTTTGGTTCAATGTTTTCGTCCTCGGATATCTTCATTTGGCCGCCGTCTACGGACTAGTACTAGTTCTAACTGGAAATACTAAAATAAGCACAATCTGTTGGGGTAAGTGTAGAAGTAATTAGCAATGATTTCTAATAAATCCAGTGTGTAAAAACAGGTCTCTTCGTTGGAATCACTTCCTCGATGGCCGTCACCGGAGGAGCGCACAGGCTTTGGGCCCACAAAACCTACAAGGCTAACCTTCCTCTTCGCATCCTCCTCGCCACCTTCATGACCATGACCTTCCAGAACCACATCTACGAATGGGCCAGAGATCATAGGGTTCACCATAAATATGCAGAAACCGACGCAGATCCGCATAACGCAAAAAGAGGTAAATTAAAACAATTATCTATAGAAATCAATGAAACACTAACAGTTTCTAATTAGAATTGTTATGAATACAATGGAAATGAAAGTAGTTCAATGAATTCAAAGCATAGTTTTTTTTTTCAATAAATTTAATAAAATTTGGGTTTAACTTCAAATACTTCTTATATATTGAAATTTAGAAAAACCTATTCACATATTGATCCACATATACCTAAACTTAAGATTTCAAGCGTTAATAATCAAAACATTTTAATTAATTTCTGTTGGTTGCAAAATTTTGTTGATACATTTTGAAGTGTGTATAATTATTATTATTGAATCTATGAGATTATAGTTTAATCTTTATAGTTTCAGATTCAGATTGTCCAAATAACTTAAATCAATTAGTTCACTAAATATTTCAATTGCAAATATCTCAAAAAAAAGTAATACAATTTAATGAAATAACTCAAATTTTGAATAAATATTTTCTTATTATCAGAAGTGTTCTTATTTTTTCTGATAAATTATGATGAGATTTGGAATCAAATAATACTTTGTAATTTCTACAATTTTTAATCAATTTTTTATTAAAGTTATGCATAATAGATTCAAATGAAAAGAGTTGTATTCTTCAGTTGCACTTATGATGAGATTTGGAATGAAATGAAACTTTGTAAATTTAATATTTCTACAATTTGTAATCAAATTTTGATTAAAGTTTTACATAATAGATTCATATGAAAAGAGTTGTTTTTTTAGTTGCAATTATGATGAGATTTGGAATCAAATAATACTTTGTAAATTCAATATTTCTGCAAATTTTAATCAGATTTTTATTAAAGCTTTACATAATAGATTCAAATGAAACGAGTTGTTTTCTTCAGTTGTAATTATGATGATATTTGGAATGAAATGAAACTTTGTAAATTCAATATTTCTGCAATTTTTAATCAGATTTTGATTAAAGTTTTACATAATAAATTCAAATGAAAAGAGTTGTTTTCTTCAGTTGCAATTATGATGAGATTTGGAATGAAATGAAACTTTGTAAAGTCAATATTTCTATAATTTGAAATCAGATTTTGATTAAAGTTTTAGATAATAAATTCAAATAAAACGAGTTGTTTTCTCTAGTTTTTTTGTATTCCTATTATTGTAGTAACAATACTTTTTTTTCTGTATTGAAAGAGATGAGCGGAAAAAGTTTGTCCAATTAACAAAGAGTTTCTCTTTTCATCGTAAGAGATTTGACCATTAAAAAGTTTATTTTCCATTGAAAATCCGAGCCGGTATAGATTTAATTAAGCCGCTAATAATTAGCGTGCTAATTATCAACATTTCAAACTGGATTTTATCGTTTTTCAGCGAAAGTAATGAACTTTTCTTATTGCCGATGATCGTTTTGTTAATCGTTTTTGGATTTACGAGTGTTGGCGTGGTCTGGACGCAGGATTTGCGTTAATTGTATGGATGAGCATTAGCATACTGTTCAATCACTTGACGGTCATTAAGGATTTAGGATTAAGGACCCCGAAGATTTCTTCATCGTCTTCGCGTCTAGTCCTTCCATCAATATTGATTTGTTTACACGTCCACCGTCGCACGAGTTAAATAACCTAGGACTTGAGTTTATGCAAAACCGATCATCCGTATCAAACAAACACAATAATTGACTTTTTCGTACAAAAAAAAAGCTTCATTTCAGACCACCATTTCAGTATTAATACTAAAACAACAAAATTTACAGAATTGACAAAGTGTTGATTTATATAATTAGAAGAAAACTACATTAATATCAATTAGTAAAATTATCTAATTTTCATGTTAATTCACATATTTAGTACTTAATAGAAGGAAATTGTTATTATAAAGATTATAGTAAAACTTCTTTCAATAAGATTACGTAAAATATAATTCATTATTAATAATGGTTTTTTCAAAGAATGAATCTTAAGATTAATAAATAGAAGTGATTATTTCAAAACTAATCTATTTTTTAGTTCAGAAATAAGATATGAATGGATTATGATAATCTATAATAAATATAGATAAGTTACAATTAATCTCATGATAAATAGTAATAGTTTCAATAAATTCCAGGTTTCTTCTTTTCGCACGTTGGATGGTTGATGGTGAAGAAGCACAAAGATGTGATTGAAAAAGGAAAGACCGTGGATGTTTCGGATTTGGAACAGGATTCGGTAGTTGTGTTCCAGAGGAAGTGAGTGTTATTGAATCTTGGTTACTTCTTGATTGTACGTTGAATATTTTAGATATTACGCTCCTTTGGTGCTGTTTGGTACATTCATCTTCCCAATGCTAGTGCCTTGGTACTTCTGGAACGAAAGCATATCGATTTCTTGGCACGTTGCAACAGTCCTAAGATACGTGATGAGTGTGAACATGGTTTGGTGCACGAACAGCGCAGCTCATCTCTACGGCACAAAACCATACGATAAGTAAGTGAAATAATCAAAAGATTGATTCGTTTCTTATATCGAGGATTGTTGTAGGAATATAGGGCCGACGCAGAACCAAATGATGTTAATTATAGGTTTAGGTGAAGGTTTCCACAATTACCACCACACATTCCCGTGGGATTACAAAGCTGCCGAGTTCGGGAACGATATCAGAAACATAACTACGTCTATGATTGATTTCTTCGCGAAAATCGGATGGGCCACGGAGTTGAAGACAACTTCACCGGAGATGATCAGGAGACGAGCGTTTCGCACAGGCGATGGTACTTGGGACGGTGATCTCACCGAGATGAAGAGGAATTTCGTGGAGAAGAAACTCGATGATTCGAAGGAGGAGGTTTGGGGTTGGGGCGATAAAGCCATGGGCCGAGACGAGATGCGGGAGATACAAATCTCCAACGGCATAATTTGCTCTGAATAAGTACAATTGCAGTTGACGTGAACCTGATGTATATCGGTTCTGTCGTTTTGTGTGTGTGGGGGCGAATGTTTGGAACATAATTCAAACTCGGATGCAAAGCTCCCCGCTAATGCATTGTGTATAATATTCTGTGTAGTCTGAGTATGTAAATTGTTTGCAGTTTGTTGTGTGCTTGGGAGATGTCTTCGATCGGAATGGATTAACGTTATTTCGAATGGATTTTATGCTGTTTCGTAAAACCGAAAATGCGCTCCAAAGATTTTCATATACGATTATTAAAGGATTTTCGCATACCGGAAACTAGGACGCAAAACTAATCCTGTTTACGTGCTGCATGGATTTACATTCTCTATCCCAAAACCGCCCTTAATTAACTGACCCCCATACACATAGTATTTAGGGAAAGTTATGTAATTCGACAAATATTTCGATTCACACGTATTTTACTATTTGCAAACTTAATTGAAATTTATTGTACTTATTTATGTTAAAATTTTTAATTTGTAATTGAAATGTTCTCATTCGCAGTTAAACATTGTATTTATTTATTAATTCATTATTTAAATTTCGATTTGCAACAAAAAAAAAAACATGCAAGTATATAATTCATGTAATATCTAGTTATTATAGATTTAGGAAAACTTTGAATACACTTGGTAACTTACTTAAATTCTCAATTTTTATTTTAATAAACGTTAAATTTAGTTGCTATAAAATGTTATAAAAATTTCGTGAATTTCTCGACAACCCCTTAAGATAAGTACTATCATTAACCACTCGTATGAAAGCTGAATGTCTCATCTTTCCAACGAACCTACTTACATCTTTGTACTGCCATCGAGTCTAGAAATTGGGAAAAAAAGTGAATTAACACTTCTTTTTTTCGATAGTAACTCGAAAAGTAATAAACTTTTTTTATGATTTTATTACATAATCAGATGCACGCAAGCGTTGCGCAATTTCTTATGTAAGAAGAGTTACGTAATGTTCGTTACGTAATAGAGCAACGACGTTTTTCCATTTCATTTCAGTTTTTCGTGAATTTCTCTATAGCCCCTTAAGATAATTACATCATCGTATACTCGTATGAAAGCTGAATGTCTCACCTTTCCAACGAATCCACTGGCATCTTTGTGTTATTGTTGGCACGCCTGCTATGAGCTGTAGAAATTGAAAAAACAGAGAAACGACGTTTTTTTAATTTTTTTCATGAATATCTTGACGACCCCTTAAGATAATTACATCATCGGATACTCGTATGAAAGCTGAATGTCTCATCTTTCCAAAAAGGCTACTGGCATCTTCATACTACTTTCGAGTCGCCTGCTATGAGCTGTAAACATTGGAAAAAAAAGTAAATAGGATTTACCAAAAAAGTGGATTTTCGATAATAACTCGAAAAGTTTTTTTATTATTTTATTGCATAATCAAATGCACGCAAGCGTTGTACAATCTTTTTATGTAACAAGCGTTACGTAATGTTCGTTACGTAACAGAGAAACGTCGTTTTTTCCATTTTTCGTGAATTTCTCGACAACCCCTTAAGATAATTACATCATTAACCACTCGTATGAAAGCTGAATGTCTCACCTTTCCAACGAATCTACTGGCATCTTTGTGTTGCTGTCGGCACGCCTGATATAAGCTGTAGAAATTGAAAAAACAGAGAAACGACGTTTTTTTTTTAAATTACAGTTTTTCGAGAATTTCTCAACAACCCCTTAAGATAATTACATCATCAAATGAAGTCGTATGAAAGCTGAATGTCTCACCTTTCCAACGAGCCTACTTACACCTTTGTACTGCCATCGAGTTTACATTAAAAAAATTGAGGAAAATTTTGAGTTACAAAAAAAAAACACGTTTTATATGACCAATATTAGTTGTTAAAACCTATTTTTTTTTAAGTGGAAGCTTTTCACAGCTAACTAAAGCGATTTATCTTATTTCCTACGTAAGACAGCAAGAAAATAAATACAAGCTTACGAACGCCCACGTTTCAAGATTGATTGTTTACGTGCAAGTGCATACAGCGTTTTCTGATTACCACACCACAGTTTTTGTTTTTTTCTCTCACACTCAATCTCCACATCCATATAGTAATAATTATATAAACCCTATGCATATGTATCGTTTCAGTTGCGCAAATCAAGCATGCACAAACGGATTTGTTTGAAAAGACCTAAAAATAATTCTAATTTTATATTGAATTAATATTGTAAAAACCACGTAGAAAAAGATGTAATTTTGATTTAGAAATGATAAAAAACATTAACACTTCAATTGTTCAATAAATAATTATTATTAATCATTAATTATAGAAAATAATTACAAATCAACTAATAAAGTCGAATCAAGAAATTATGTTTCTATATTTTAAAACTGATTGAAAATGCATTATGAGATTATTGATTTCGTTAAATTGTGCGAATATCTATTGTTTTGTTTTGTTGCGTGGAAATTGGATGTTCTTTATTAACACGTAAATTACAATAATATTAATATGAAAATTATGATTACATTTTATACGTACAATATTGTATTTCACAATTGCAAATTATCGTTAATTAAAGTATGTTTGTACTCGCATTTAATTGCAATCTGCGTGTGTGTTCGAAATGTAAAAGCAAATAATAAATATCATATAACACATTAAATGTTGATTTTTTTAGAGATGATAATGTTATTAATATTTATATTACATTTTTATTTGTTGTAAACAAATCTTTGCTAACAAAAGTTCGCTTAGTTGGCGTTAATACATTTGTTTCTGAAAAAAAAAACAAAAGTTGTTTCTCAATTTGTTAAAGTCTAACGATATTTCATGTCAAATTTCAAGAAGATCGGTAAGAATGGATAGGAGAAAATGCAAGATAAATGATGTAATGTTGGTAAAAATTCTAAAACCAACACTGCAAAAAATTGCATAAAAATCTTTATGCTTTATTTCTTCAATAAATACTTATTATTAATCACTGAACAAGTGTTAATTATAGAAAATAATTATCAAAGAAAAAAATCTAAAAATAATTGTAATTTTATACAAGTTTGTTAAATTAATATTGTAAAACTTATGAAGAAACTTATGTAATTTTGATTTAAAGGAGAAAAATCTTTACATTTCAATATTTCTTCAATAAAATACTTATTATTAATCATTGAAGAAGTGTTAATTATTATAGGAAATAATTATCAAAGAAATAATTATAATTTTATATAAATTTGTTGAATTGATATTGTAGAAAATATGAAGAAACTTATTTAGTATTTTTTTTGATTTAATAAAGAAAAGTCTTTACAATTAATTTCTTCAATAAATAATTAATATTAATCACTGAAGAAATGTTAATTATAGAAAATAATTACTAAATAAAAAAAACCTAAAAGTAATTATAGTTTTATACAAATTTGTTGAATTGATATTGAAAAAACTATGTAGAAAATAATGTAATTTTGAATTAGAAAAGAAAAAAAATTAACTGAAGAAGTGTTAAATATAAAAAAATCAAGTAAATGTTTTTATTTTTCATTCACTTGTGTTCATTTTCAATGGAAATGTAATTCGCAAATTCATTTGAATGAAATGAACGAAACGAATTGAAGTTTCCTTAACTTTCGGTATACATGAAATAAATAATGTAAAACCTGAAAACTGCATTTTCAATCCATTTGAATTAGGAAAAGTGGAATAAACGAAAGTTGAAAGCATTCCCAGGTTGCACAAATAAATGTCGCCCTTTATTCCCACATCCTCGCTCACCATGATATTCAAACGTTTGTGTTCATAAAATTGCCAAAAGGACGTTGCTACAAAAATAATATGAATCGAAAAAATAAAGGTGAACAAAAACGATGCTTTCATAAATATTCAACTTATATTTATTTGAGCATTTTCGCTGTTCGATGTCGGCTGCAGGCAATATAATATATATATATATTCCGTACGGTTTTCAACGCGTTCAAATAAACAGTCTAAATGCATTTCGGAACAATGCTTTCCTGTTTGTTTATTTTGCGATTCATAAAACTAATTTATATATCGAAAACTGCGAATTCTCGCTCACTTGAATTTCTATTTTTTAATGAAATATTTCATAATTTATACCTTTTGTTTTCGTTTATAATAGAGGAGAAAACGTTCAATGTTCTTGAATGTACAAATAGAAGTGAAGCTGCATTCTTACTCACCTGAAAAAAATATGTAAAAGCAAAGGTGTGTGTATTCTAATTAAATTATATAAAAATTTTGTGCTTTGTATAAAGTGTATAAAAAAAGGCCAATAACTTTAGAAATAAGTATTTTTTTATATTTCAACAATTTAATTATATTTTTATATAATTGAATTCAATTATATAACATTCCTTGCGGTTTGTATAAAAAGTATAAAAAATAATAATTTGTAGCAGAAAAAAACGTCCAACATCTTTGGAAATAAATAATAGATTGATGGCAAAGTTGTATTTTTGTTTTTACTCACCTGAAATAATTTTAAAAGCAAAGGTATTTTTTTCTATTCTAATTCAATTATATAATAGTTTATAAGTTGCATTTTGCATAAAATGTACAAAAAATGAATAATTTGTAGCTGATATCTTTGAAAGTAGCAAAATTATTTTTTTTTCTGCCACCTGAAATATTTTCAATAATAAAGGTATTTTTATCCTAATTTAACTATTTAATGATACATTCCTTGCCGTGCGATTTGCGTTTTTTTGAAAGCAAAGATGTTTTTATTCTAATTCAAATATATAACATTCCTTGCGGTTTGTATAAAGAGTATAAAAAATACATTAT